CTGTGAGCAGCTGAATATCTTGATCCATCTTCTGAAAGCAACCACAAACAAAGGAATATCATGGAATATCTGTTGGGCACCTCATCTGTTGGGCAAGGCCTCATCACTTGTCAAAATCCCAGCTCTGTTTAGTGATAGATTACAACCATGTTTTCCTTTGGATCTACTTCTTGGTGCTCCAACATGCCAGCCGCCTCTGCTTCCACTGGGTCGCCCCGACGCATTTCTTCTCTGAGAAAGGCGCCGTCAAGGGAGGACCCTCCAAGACGATATGTCCTTCCAATCCTCAGCGGTGCGGCGGCGTGGAGGAAACCCGCAGAGTTTTTTTCGTTTTGAAGGCCTTCCAACAAGAGTGGCAGGGAGTTTTTTTTTGTTGAGATGAAACCAGCATGCCTTTTTTGCACTTTTCTTTTTTAAACAGCAGATGCTTGATTGGATGGACTTGGACATCACATCTTCTTTGTACTGACTTGGGGAAAAGAGCAACATCACAACTCCAGACTCTGAGATGCAACAAAAAAGCACCTCACTCTCCGATCTATCCCGCCATGATCCCTTAGGAAGTTCTCTGCCAAGCTACTCACTAATCCAGTCTCCGACCTCAGCGGCTGAGGCCAAATGACCGGGAACGGATGGCGAAGCACCACGGTTCACTATGCTTTGACATTGGATTGACATTGGAGTGGTGAACCGTTGGAGTTACAAACCCGTTGGACTTCACTGTGAAGTCACGCTTTCGCGTGGCCAAGAAGCCAGTTTGTCAGGTCAGAGCCCAAAAGCACAGGGAGGTTCTCCACCTGACGAGCGTGGTGGAATGCACATCAAATGATTGAAATAGAGATGGCCTCCAACCTAGTAGAGATGGCCTCCTGATGCTATCTAGGATGCAAAAGAGAAGGAAAAGGTGAGGGCGCCAACACGTTCTGCATTCTCAAATTGACATCCTCACTCACCGGCCTCCTGCGTGAGACGATCTGAGGGCCGCTTGTACAGCGTGCAAACTGCCGCCTTGGCTGGCGACCAGTTCAGCTGTTTTAGACCAACAAAATGAATAGAATTCACAGTGATGATCAGTAGCCGATCACAAAGCAGTTCGATATTGAAGGCACTCTGGAACCTAGGGTTTTATATGAGTTTATTTAGGTGCTTTATTTTAGCCGCCCCTACTTAATTAAGTAGGGGCCTACTCAATTAGGTAAGGGAGTAGCGCTCCTAGCTACTAAAGCTACTGCCTACTGGACGCAAGATAGCACTCGCACTAGTGATTTGGTTTCTAGATCTTTAGGGAAACTTGACCATAGGGTATGAGTTCATTGTTAGTGCCTCGGCCACTTACGTTCGTGTTGACTAAAGAGGAACTAAAGCAACGTGCAAATACTGATGCTGGTTTGGGATTGACTATGTGCTTTAAATCTATATGGATACAAACATCTTGTAAAGACTCAGAAGGTAGTTTACATTCAGCATCATCCACCGCAGGACCAACATCATGCTCAGACTCCATCGAGTCTACAACATTACTTTCTTGCCAGGAATAGACTTGCCAAACGCTTGGCACAGTCTTGTCAATACCAGCAACGCTTTTCAATCTTACTTATATCAACTTATATCGGTTTTCGGGCACTGTCAACTTGCCCATTAACAAGTGCCATCCCTTCCTGACTACGGGTGCAGTTGCTGAGTCGTGAGCGACTGACGCCCAGTTGAAGTGACGGCAAAGGAATGACCCAGCCAATGAAGGCAAACCGAACTCCATCAGCCGACGAAGTGTCCAACTCATAGCTCAACTAAGACTTAAAGTCATACTTGTTACTAGTAGCGATGCCAGGAGCTACTAGTAGCGTCCTTGCTCCTAGTAGCGATGCTCTTCGCTCCTAGTAGCGATGCCCTTGTTACTAGTAGTAAGGCCAGGGGCTACTAGTAGCATACTCCAAGTTGTTGGCTGAAAGTCTGGTCAAAGTTAGCCAATCCAAGGTGCAAGTCCCACCACGAAAGCCACGCCCAGCATTGACATCACCTGGAAGTCAATCGACGACGCTGATGATGCCTAAGCAGCATGGCTCTTGTGTGGAAACCAAACATCGCGCGAGTCAAATCCCTATACCTAGAAAACTCGTTTAGACAGGCTGATGCTCACTTTCCAATTATCATGTCTGCACTCCATAGATCACAAAGACAGGGAGGGCATCAGTTCCTTTTCCTTGAGGCATTATGCCCACAAACACTACCTCCAGATTCGTCCAGTGAACTATCACAACGAATGAACATCAACATTGAAATCAAAACACCATCTTGGGATTTAGTGATCTGAGCGATTAAGCACACAGGCCATGCAACACGCGCCTGCTCAATTACCCCAAACTCCAACACCAAGGGTCGGCCCAGTTCAGCTGGAGTGAATGAACCTTCCCAAACTGAATCACTGCCAAAAGCCTCTGATGTCGGTCACATTCCCTCCACTTCCGTGAAGAACCTCATCACTTTTGGCATTCTCCAGTCCGCACCCCACACACCGAAGCCTGTCTGTCGCCCAAACCACCCTACCCCACCGGTCGAGGCTAGGGCTTGTGGGAGGCTCTTCACTTTGGGCAGTGGTAAGATAGGCGGTGCCATGACCTGCCAAACTGAGACTTCTTCGCCATCGAACCGGGTGACGGATGAGATGGCGGGCGGCTGTCATAGAAATTGGGAGACTTGTATTTGATAGGTTCAGAAATGCCTCGCTTTCCATCGGGCTTGTATTTGGTTCGTGGTCAAAATGGGACTCAACAAACACCAGTGGGACCGGCTCTGGCCATGGCCGATCCGTGGCCGGATGGATCGCCTCGGTCAGGATCTCCTCCACCTTCGCCGAGGATCTCTCGTCCTCTTGGAGGAAGGAGAGTGGCGCAGAGTGCGGGGCGCGGTCCGCTGCGCGGTCCGCCTGCAACGGCGACGCGACACCAACGGGAAACAAGGAGAAGCTGGTCAAAGCGGTTCGAACAGAGTTTCTGGGTGTCTCCAGTCTGGCCAAGCATGATGAGTCCCCCAAACTTCCTGTCAATCACAGACCTGTATGACTGTATGCTTCCCAAGTGCTTGATCCAATCATACAAGCGCTAAGAAACAGCAAATGGGGGATAAGCGAACAGGTTGGTATCTAAGGGTGACCGGTGCTTGCAAAGCTTTCCCCACCCGTTCGCCTCAGCAGGCCGCTGTAAAGAGGCCTTGGCCTTGGCCGCAGTGAGAGAGCTCTTCCTAGCCCTGTGCCCGTGTGGCCGTGTGGTTCATTGCCAAAGGTGTTTTGGTTCATCACCGTTGGTTGAACGGTTGTGCGGTTGGTGGTCTGGGGTACATATCTCGAGCAACCACCCGAGAGAAGCAAGGCAGGCAGAGGAGGGCAATGGAACTGCCTCACATCTAAACCGAAAGCCTATCCACCCGAAGACAGCTCTGCTTTTCGACCTGTCTAGGAAGTCCTGTAGGTTATGTATGGATAGCCCCTCACACATGGCGAACACCAATCCCATGCAACTTGCCGTGGATTTTTCAGGTGTGTATTGTCATGACTGTCATAACCGCACATCTTTCTTGAATTCAACAAGGTGAAAGTCTTGCTGAACCTGTGTGAGTTTGTGTGACCCTTCATCTAACCTGAGCTTTCTCCCGACATTTGTCATAATTACCCCACACCTGCAGGAGCATGGGCGCTCGCTTCAGGGGGCGCCGCGGCGGCACGGTGGCCATGGTGGCCTGGTGGGGCACGGTAAACGGGTCGAAGTTCAGTTCGCCAATTCAATGGCCTCCTGCCTAGTAGCGTCCGAAGGCTCCTAGTAGCGATGCCCTTTGTTCCTAGTAGCTTCTGCATGGCTCCTAGCAGTATGGCCAGGAGCCCCTAGTAGCGTCCTTGCTCCTAGTAGCAATGGCCTGCAACCGAACGAAGAAACTTTGGACATGATGGCAATTGATGGCTATTGGACGGTACACTGGAGGCTGCCCATTATCATGGCCAATCTGGCTGCCATGAATTGTACGCCGGGTCAATGAAAGTACAGCTGCTCCATATATAATCCGATGGGCCCCAGAACTTGTTGCTGGTATCTCACTTCTGGAATTTAACGATTGTATTCAAAGCGTCATTTCCCATTTCCATGCGCTACCACCAGACCGAACGTTGGGCAAACTCAAAGAGTACTAATACTACCATAACCAAGGAGTGTCTACAAAAACATTCCACAGCAAAACGCTCCATCCCAGGCTCCAACACCGAAGAAACCCTCTCTCCGAAGCCTCGAGGCCGCCCTCTGCCGTGACCACGGTGGACTCCAGGGCGACGCCCGTGGAGGCCGTCCTCGGCGTGTCTCCCCGTCGGTCGAGGACGGATGGAGAACCCACAGCTGGACGGATTCGGACAATACTAGGAGCAAAGACGCTACTAGGAGGAAAGGGCATCGCTACTAGGAGCGTTCGGACGCTACTAGGGGCTCCTGGCATCGCTACTAGAAGCAAGGACGCTACTAGGAGCAAAGGGCATCGCTACTAGGAGCAAGGAGGCGCAAGTTCTTGTTGAAAATAACAGGTGGATTCAAACGGAAGCGGCTCAGTGGGTTTCTCAACACAAACCCAGCTCCTCAACTGTCAACGTGAACCTGAGTTGGGACGTCTGCGAGAACGGGTAGGATTTGGTTTTCGGGAAGGTTTCTGTTTCTTTTGCTGTTGGTGTTTGTTTTCCCTGAGATCTGCGTTTGGAGTTGGTGCTGGTCACCTGGTAGCAGACTTGTGTTAGCTGCAAATGACACAAATGTTGGTCATTGGTGCATTCCAGTGACGGTGGAAATGAAACTACATCAAGCTCCAAAGCAAGAGATTGGAGGAACATCTTACCTTGCACATGTTGAAACTTTGGAGAAGGGGTGCTTTTGCCATCCGACCAGAAAACCAAAGCGAAAAAGGCTTCTATGGACTCCCGGCTCATTCTGGGTCACCTACTGTAGCCCACAAAGAACCGACACTGACACTTTCGGTCGAGCCTTTTTCCAGGATGATAACTGACACCGGTCATACGCTCAAGCTGCTTCCTCTCAACTTTAGTGACTTTAGTGGCTCCCTCCACTGGTCGATTGCAATCCATTTGTTTTTGGTGTGTCGATTGCGCCATCTTCACAGGCCATCTCGCTCTGCACGAATGATCTCAAGAGCATTCTGTAGTTGCACGAAGGCCTCATGACTTCCACCAGGCCTGTCAGGGTGCACATGCAAGGCCTTCTGCCGGTAGGCCCGATTCACGTCCTCGTTGCTTGCATGCTGATTGATACCCAAGAGGCGATATGCATTCTCAACCGCCACATGTTTGGGCAAATCAAAAAAAGTGCTAGTCAGAGTCTGAGTCAAGCTGGACGCTAGATGCTGGCCCAAAGCTCCTCCCACAACTGTGCCAACAATGACTCCGATGGGACCGCCAATGGCACCATAAAAGCCTCCCGCAAGCCCTTCCGCAAGCCCTCCGCCAACTGCTCCACAAGCATCGACGATGCCCTTCACACAACGCTCCCCGGAAATATCACCATTCATCCAATCGCGAATGCTTCTCAGTGCCTCCCAAGCCAGCTCGGTTGCAACGAGTGCAACCCCTGTACGTCTCATCATTGATCGTGCTGAAATGCTCAGCTCAGCGCCAAGAAGCTGTCTGCAGGCAGCAGGGGCCCCTTCCATCAAGTGTTTCCCGCAACGGGAAGTGTGTCGAGCAATCTGGTAGGACGAGCCATCTCCCGAGATACACCACAATGCAACATCTTCACAATTCTTGAAGACCAAGTTGTAGCCGCGCTCACCAATGCGACTGTGGGCACGTCTCAACACAACGTTGGGATTTACTGGGCGCGTGACGAGGGTGTAGCCCGCGACATTCTGGGTCTCCTTGTCGATGCAGCCACCTTGTTGTTTCCCTCGATGATGAATCACGGTGGCTGAGGATGCGATTCGCTGCTCCCAGTTGCAGAAGATCGCGTGGTGATCGAAGGCTCCACAATTAAGGCGGATATGATCTCCCGGAGCAAAGTAGGGCACGATGGCCATTTCGGCTCAGACGTTTCCCCAACAAGCAAAGGCTACAAGTTGAGACCTCCAAACTCTGCATAACTCCAGTCATGATGTAATCTGTCCATGTCCCGGCTTCACTGGGAATACATATGCATTTCAAACTTAGACCCATACTGCGGCTACACTCCCCTTATCAGCTGCCGGAGAAGCAAGCAAAGAACCACACGTCGCCACAATTGAGCTCCAATCTTCAAGGGTCCGGGGGGTCCATTCCAACACCACTGTGGTCCATCGGACTGTGCCTGAAAAGTTCGATCCAACACCACGAATGAAGACCCCACTCACCAGATGGACCCCGACACCTAGAGATCACGCAGTTTTGTCGCACCTTCTGGTAGAATGCTTTGGACAACCCATTCCCACAGGTTTCCTGCTACTGTTTGCGAGCCCACATCTGGTAATGAAAGAGAAACATGCCACATGACCTTCATCTGTTTACCAGGAGGGTGCCCGCGCTTCAACCCCAACGAGTCTTCATTTCCGAACCCTTTCAGCTTCGGTCTTCTCAGCCCCAGCTTCGCCCATAGACAAAAGATTGCTCGCCGCATTTGGAAGCTGTTCGTTCACTCTCGGATGAGCCTGGAACCACCAACGCACCACGGTGCGAGCACGCGATCGAAGATAGACGCGGGAGAGCCGTGCGATGCCGTGGGCAGGTGGTTTTTCGTTGGGCCTTGATGGTCCGTTTGCTGGTGGAGAGGGACCAGTCAGGACTTGAGGAACCATTGGAGCCAGTTCCTCAGGGACTTGTTCAAAGGCGATTTGTGTCTTTAGCACCATAATCTGTAAACGGTCTGGAGTTGGTGGAACAAGGGAGTCGCAATTTCTCTCCCGGAAACACACCCAATTTTGATTCCACAAGCCACATTCCTCCTACTTTCCTTTTTCAATGTGATGATGGTGCTTCTCAAGTATTCTCGAAATCTCCAAACTCGCCTGTCGCTCGCCATCGAGCAGGTCGACGTAGGCTGCACAGCACGTGGATTGGTTCTGCTCAGAACCAACCAACGGCGCGCAGAAAGAGCTGAGCCCAAATGGACCAAACGAGGGTCTCAGTTGTAGGACATAGATATCATCAACCAAGCCGGAATCAGCAAGGATCATGTGAAAGTGTCCCTTGGAACTCACAAGTTATTGTGGGACTGGAGCAACTCTTGATTTCCATTCGATGGTGCTTCAAACCCACACCAATCTGGACCGTTATGACTCACATGTTGTCTTTCAGGTCCCAGGTCCAGCAAACAATCCTCATCTTCTTGGATGCAAAAGCATCCCCTTCAAAGTGGCTATGGGATCTACGGAGCAAATGCCGCCACAACATGTTGGCCATCAATTCCAGAAACTACTTGGTGACTTGGTGAAGTTGATGTCATGAGGAATTGCCTGCTATAAGTTTCCTCTCTAGAAAACGATCCACCGATGTGGGAAAGAGCATGAATTAGTCTGCACATAAAGGTAAATAACCTTCCGTCTTGCGTCCATCTCAAAAACGATAGGATCCCATCAACCAAAGACCAATCCTCGACATCCTCACATGTAAACTTCATGCTCCCCTGCTGGTCTCTGCCTACTCCAAATCCAAGCAACTTTCTCCAAGCAAATCACGTGCCAAGCGTCACGTAGTGATTAAGTCACCGCAAGAGTCCCGTTCGAGACGGAACGCGTTCTGCGAATTGGCGGCGCCCGAGTTTGTGTTGGAAAACCTCTGGCAACGAAACAAACTCGGCGAATTGGAGGATTCTATGTGCAAGGGAAGGAATGTGAGTGTGCTTCGCAGCTGTTCCCGTGAAACAGTGGATGGAAAGATGCAAGCAGCTGCTTCACCCCTCAACTCACTGCTACACCATTCCTGCCAAGATTTAACCACCACACCACCACTAGACAAACTTTAACTGCATCTGACCGTGAATTCTCTTGGCAGTGCCGCAGCATTTTCTTTTCGCCAAAAAGGCCGATCATGTAGTTTGACCTTTTGAACTATTGACGAATCGTGGCAAGATGGCCAACACCAGCGAATGCAACCCAAATGTGCACAACGCCTGTGAGAAGGAAACTCTTGAACCAAACCCTTGGAATCTGAAGCAGTTTACCTTTGCCTTTTTGAGATTAACGACTAACACTGTCTCTTTGAGCCAGCATGAGCCAACCAAATAACACACAAATCGCTCCTCCACATCAAAGCGGAACCTGTCTGCAAAGCCTTCCCACCCGTCAGCCGGAGCAACAGTAGCTCCGCGCAGTCGTCGCATCACTCACTCCTGAGTCGGCACTCGCTTTCAGTTCTTTTTGTTTCTGTATTCCGGGGAGGCTCTTTTGTTTTTTGTTGCGGGGGAAGAGAGAGAGGCGAGGATGGATGTATGGGAAAATGGACTGATAGAAAGCAAAGATGGAAAGAACACTCGATCAACAAACAAAGAAAAATACATCAAGGGTCAGGGAAGGTAAAACAGCATAGATACTTGGTTAGCTGCATGGACAGATTGATAGCTATGTGGGAGTGAGCTCCTGCAATCACATCGAATGATCAGCACCGTGTGCTATTTCCTACATGTGTCTTTAGTGGAACCACGTGAACAAAGCAATTCCACGCCGCAAGAAGAAAAGCCACTGCACCTCTAGATAGAGAATCAACAGTGCTTCTATGTCACAAAAGCAACGGTCACCCTTTTCTGTGCGAACATTCTTGACAAATCACTTGCCATGTCACCACGGACACTCATCCACTGGCATCTTTACAAATTCTGAACACAAACAACCACAGTTGTCATCTGGAAAAGTCCCGGGGGCCTGTGCCAAACCCCCAACTTGCAAAAACACTTCAAGTAGTCAAGGCCTAACTTCAAGTAGTCAAGACACTCATAGACACATTAACAACCTTGGGTAGAAAGAAGGGCAGCAGACTGTACTGGCACACTTGGAATGAGGGACGTTTTGATTAAGATCCATGCCACCACCCTCGGTTCTCGCTATTCCAGATCGCTATCGCATCCTCGCTATCGGTCTCTGCCTCGGGTGTTTTTCCATCTAGGAGCAAGGACGCAACTAGGGGCTCCTGGCATCGCTACTAGTAAAAAAAGCTATTAGGGGCTCCTGGCCGTACTACTAGGAGCGTTTGGATGCTTTTCCATCTCCATCTGCTGAACGAGCGTCTCACTCTCCGACGACTCGTAGATCTGCTTGGCCTTGTCGTACAACGCCTTTCCCGCCTCGCTCCTCGCGGCAAGGCGATCTCGCCTTTCCCCCAGATCTGGTGGGCCAGAAGGGAACATCTCCACCGAGGGCGTTGGAGGTCAGAAAAGACATTCAAGTGATGCACAATAATTACGAGGTGAGGAGCTTCGTCATGAGGTGAGGAGCTATCATGCGATCTTAGGATCACAAGTGTCCCAGAGCCAGGTTTGCAAAAAAGAAGGAACTCGCAGCTCTTGTGCAATAAAGCATAGCTTTTCAAAGTTTGCATTTTCAATTTGAAGAGCTATATTAATATACATAGGTTTTCTGGGACACGGTGAAGTGTTTTTTTAAAGCTCGCTTTCCGGTGACCGGACCCGGTGACCTGCCATTGACCGCCACGAAGCCTGAGGTGTGGAGTTCGGACCTGCCAACGGAGCGAGCTTTGGCACGACCGAGTCAGGTTGTTCGGACCTGGTGCGACCTGGTCGACTCGGAGACCCTGAAGAGGATGTTTGAACAGCAAAGCTTTTTCAGGAGAAAGAATCCTTATTCATTTGAGGATTTCCACAACACAACACAGTTTCTTTTTTGTGTAGAATCTGTTCTGTCTGCACGAATCAACATAGCTTCTCTGTTTCAGAATAGGGCTAGAGAGATCCAACAACTTGACGCCCAATGAATTCCCTACGGGCCTCGCATCATGCACTGCTTTGATCCAGTTCCGAAGGTTTTCTTCATATAATCTCCTGAAGCAACAAGGCTGCAAAGCAAACAAAACACCTCAAAAGCAGGAAGACGAAGGGTTGCAGACAGGAAGACTGTAGGCTCGTTGCTGGGATTTGCTCATGTCCGTAACGAGAAGGGTCCAAAGCCTCATGCAGCCAGGCTTCAGGCCCCGCACATGTCTCTTCTTCGACACAATCCTTCCACGCCTGGCCACGAAGGACGGATCGTTCCACGAAGGACGGATGCGTTTCTGCGAGTGCGTGGTTTCCCCGCTTGCCTTTTTGTATTGTTGTAACAGCTCTGATTCTGATTCTCTGCTGTACTCAGGTCTCTTTATTTTGGCTGAAAAGAGCACAGGTCTTTGGTCAGGGGTACACGATTTGTTGAAACATTTGCCTGTTGGAATTGGACAATGAGTCTTTGGAGGCATCTCCCACCAAACAATATCCATATCAATGTTGCATGAATGAAAATGAAGGAGTTCTCAATATTGCTCCTCCTGAGAAACAGGGGTCACATGGGTCCTATTCACACCCGTGGCATGTTCCTCCTTCTCATCTTTCCGTTTCCCCAAGCTCATCCGAGTGATTCTCATGGCAGTACCCTTTGTTCCTAGTAGCTTCTTGCTCCTAGTAGCAAGGCCAGGAGGCCCTAGTAGCGTCCTTGCTCCTAGTAGCAATGCCCTTTGCTCCTAGTAGCGATGGCCACTCTCAGTTTCACAAACATCGCTTCCGAACCATGCGAACGCTGAACCCCAGAGGGGGCGTTCGCATGGAGTGAGCACACGGGAGTGGACGACAATAGAGGCGGTGGTACTTGTTTGTCATCAAGTCATCCTGGAGGAAGCAAGCGGAAGCAACGCGCTGAGGAGATTCCAACACCTGGTGCAACAACCCTTCAAGTACTTGGCAGTTACTTGCAGGTTCGTAGGAGCATGCCACTAGAGCCTACATGAGCCTACTAAAGCCGGCGATTGGTTGCTTGGACTTTTGCATACAAAACACCACAACAATACTAATTGGCATAATGCTTAGGATGCGGGGAACGTAGCCATGACTATCCAACACCTGTGATGAACACAATGTGCTGAGCTGCACGTTGATGTGGCCTTGGGCAGACTTTACTTTACTTAGTGCGCTGCAAATGGACATCATCCCGGGGACCATTCCAACTTTCAAATCTACTCATTGACAGCATGCGTTGCAGAAACATTAGGTTAGAGGCAATTGCTATTGGGTTGGAGGCTATCGGTATTAGGTTGGAGGCCATGCGCTGCAGACTATCTACTGATCAACCAAAAGTGGCATTGGCAACTTGTGGGTGCCACTGGTTTGAAGGGTGCCACTGGCTTGAAAACAAGAGTGATATTATGCAGCGGCGCGAAAACCCAAAGGAAGCTGCAACATAGCAGGGTTTTTGTTTGAATTTTTGGGGCTCACAGGTGATGACTCACACATATTCCTTCTATATTTTCTATCAGTCTTTTCCCATGGAAGTTTACATTCTGAACTTGTTGTTCGGTCAGTGTGAGATCCAAATGTTTGGCATAGTTGAGCTCATGAACATTGGCAAGTGCCGAACATATGGATTCTCAACCTTTGTCGCACCGTTTCTCGTGGAACAACAAACGAGTTCTTTACTCTCCAACATGCTCGCTCAGAATATCTCAGATTTGACAAGGGAAAGGCCTTGCTGGCCCACTTCCGAGATCTTGCACTTGGAAGACTCAACAGCTCAGAATATCTCAGAGTATACAAACAACTTGGAAGACGAGGTAAGCATTTGAACATACAAACTCCGAACATCTGTTGGTCACCCCAGAACACCGCCCAGCTCATTTCCTGACGTCAAGCCGGAGATCTGAATGAGCTAAGATATTTATGGAACTAGATCACAGGTAATATATGGGCATGGGTCAAGCCTGTGACTCCTCTCCAAGGCAAATCCTCTTCTTCAATGATCTTGTTCTGGTTCGACGTTCTTGAAACTCTCACTTTCTGATTCATGACCGGACACAACAAGTATCCAATGATAAAGCAAGCATTCCTCCACCTCCCACTTCCTTCATTCTCTCCCACCGAATCGGCTTTGTTACTGATCGATCCTTGGTGAGTCCCGAGCGGGTCTTGCTCCGGAGGCCTTTCATCACTTCCCTGCGCTCCTGGAGAAGGAGATTTGGGGCAAAGCGGGTGGATCTTCTGGCTGTTAGGAGCAAGGACGCTACTAGGGGCGCTCCTGGCCTTACTACTGGTAACAAGAGGACGCTACTAGGAACAAAGGGCACCACGCCAGCCATCCACAGTGCTTTCAAGTGACAAAACATGACAAAACGCAAGGCTGGGCGCCCCGCCCTTCACCATGCTAAGTCCATTCGCCACAAAATCACCGAAGTCAACCAGACTGTTCATGCCAAAGCTTGACCCACGAGGCTGTGGCCGCTGTGGCCATCTGTTCCTCCCAAAAGTACCCCGACGCAAACAACTAAATCAGTGCCTTCTCAGTTCTCAGTGCCTAAGAAGTCCTCTTTCTCCAGCCCATCCCCCAATCATATCTCATCACACCTCTCACCAGCCTTCGTGTCCTGACCGAACATCCTTCTTTGTCTTCTTGTTTTTTCCCCACCGCAGTCGGCTTCGCACCGCGCGCTCCTTCATGATGCGCCGGCTCCGTTCCATCGTCTCCTTGAGCTTGTCCAGAGACGCTTCGCGCTCCTGACGTCCACGAGAGCTGCACCCGCGTTTCTCCGGGTCGCTCCGGTGGCGTCAATCGATCTTGCTCTTTGGGAACATAAGGAAAGGTTCCTAATCGCGCCCTTGCTCCTAGTAGTACGGCCAGGAGCCCCTAGTAGCGTCCTTGGCTAAACATTAGTCAAACGTGTTGGGAGGTGTTTGGCTTGGATCTGATTCTTGATCCATCAAGACATGCTTGAAGAGGATGATTTTACCCATTAGGGGGCTCACTACAGAAACTATAGCGCTCACTTTATAGTGATCTAGAGCTGCTCTGAAACCGCCATGATCTTATCCATGAGACTGACCAAGGAGCTCTTTTACAATAGAAACGGGCAAAGGGCTGCGGAACCAACTGATCCCAAATGCCTATAGGGCCTAGGGGCCCCAGACGGCTGGACTCGCCTGATGCCACCGCCGTTGCGATTCATCGGAGCTGGCCGACTGTCCACCAAAGAAACCATGGCAACCACAACAGTCTGCCCACAAATCACTGGTTGGTGGTTTCACCGCACCTGAAAACGACTGATTAGTGACTGTGAATCCTCCCACCAATCTGATAACCACTGAATGGGGGAAAATTGCTCTGGGCAAACAAAGCTCCAACCTGGCCGCCCCGTCCTCAGAATCTTTCTGCAAGGCCTCAGTGGACAACGATTCTCCACCCGACCCGACCCCCCCCTGGAGATTCTGGCGACACCGAGAAACAGCACGTGAAGACATGAAAGGCTCGACAAACATCCAGATCAGGTGACAGTTCTCACCTTTTTGCAGGTGATGAGACTTTCTTTGAAAGGAGCAGAGGCAGGTACCCTAGAGACGACATCGATTTCTCCGAACCGGCTGGCGCGTCGTCCGAGGCGCGTCGACGTCGGTCTTCTCCTGGGAGATCTTCAGCTCCGCCGGGCTCAGCTGCGGCACCTGGACGTGATCCGGTGACGGCGACGGACTCCGAAGTGGGGAGACGACTGTTGGACGAATGCCGGTAGGAGCGATCGGACGCTACTAGGGGCTTTTGACACGGACATGACTCAATGTTGGCACCTGAATTTTGTAGGACTGGCGGCGCTCAAAGAAGGAACCGGTTGCTTTGCGTCGGAGATTAGATGGTAAATTATGGTAATCTGCTACTCATTCATCCAACACAAATCAGGCAACACTCTTTTACAACAAAAGTGACTCTGGTCAGAAACTATGAACCGACTCTGCAACAGGGATACATTACATGAAATTCTGACGACAACAGTCATGACGAGTCATAAGCAAGGCCCATCAGGAAGCTTCCCTACCAAAGCACGGACACTTTCTTCACACCAGTTAGTTTCTCTTTCCATGCACCGCTCTGCTTGTTCTCCGCTTAGTGCTTCATCAAATGGATCTGGAGCACGGGCCCTTCCAAACACCTTCATTACTGCAGAATTGATGACCAAATCCAACAACGACCATTGAAGACAACTCACTTCAAAATAATTAGCAATTAGCACATCAGTGCCTCCCATTCAATGCCCTGAGCATCGTACCTTGGTGCAGTGCCCCTTTTTC